GCTGTGGAGGGCCAGCCAGTATCCTGTCAACCTAACTAAAGATTTAAGGACCAAACTCTGGATTAGTCAATGTTTTTTTATGCACTCTTAGAGGGTAAAAAATAAGATTGCTCATATTTAACATAATACAATTTTATATCTATTTTAAATGATTTTAATTACTTCACAATCTATAAACTCATTGTAAAGAGGAATAATGATTTCTTAAATTTAAACTTTTCATTACAAAACTTTGTTTAGTCTTAATAAGTTTACTTTTGAAGTTTAGCAAATAACTTAGTTAACCTAGTTCTTTTAACGCATTTCATTTAGCATACATTAAATTTACTTTAGATTTATTTTGCGTAGTTAAGTTTTGTAGTTTGAATATTGTGTTTTACATTATAACTATAAGAATTTCCAACTCCATGTAAGATTGATACTTGATGTGGGGCGATTTAATGTGATAATTTTGCAAATATGTTTCAGTATTACAAAATCACAAACGACAGATATATAATAAATATGCAATATAATCCCAACAAAAATACTCTTTATGTAAATAATTTATCTTTTAAAACTCTTTTTAAACTGTCAAATCCCCTTTAATAGCAACGCAAGTATATGCATCGCTCAACTAATAAATGGCTCTAATGGAGTCATAGATATCGATCCCATAGGGAAGATGAAAAATTCTAAAGTAAATTATGAAAATTATTTTATAAAAAAACAAAAATAAAAGTAAAAGTAAAGTGCGTAGTTTTAAAATTAAATACTCAAGTGAATGCTATCAGTCCTAAGGGTGACTCATCTTGAGTTCCCCCATAATGACCCCACCTACGAAGTGCTGGAGGTTAGGACCAATATGTGGAATTGCAAGTTGAGTAGAGAAGAGTTTGGAATTTCTAATGGTGAGGGTTCCTTTTATAGTTTTCTAAGAATAGTCAACAGGAAATTCCTATGGCTAGACCTTAGGCTACTAAAGCAAAAAAACTAAACCTCAACCAAAAGTGAGGTCAACATTTACCCTCTTCCAAGTGCTATAAAGAACATTTACTAATCCGGAGTTTGGTCCCTAATTCCATGATTAGGTTGGGAGGATACCGACTGCCACTCTAAAGCTCTCATTACTCTCTCCCTTGAGGGCTAACAATCTCGCATTAGTTTCCAATTAACTGAACCAAATTGGTGGATTGAGGATTTTAATCTGCACCTTAAAATCTCCAATTATGCATCCATAGTATCTTTTCCTATTTTTTTGCACTAAACTCCATGGATGACATCCTCTCCCATTGAATCAAATGTGATTCTCACTTTGTTGTAGAACTCATAGCCCTTTCGGAACATATGTTTCTCAACACATTTTAACATTTCAATTGTTCAGATCAAAAAGTAAATGAAAATCAGAGTTATATCAACACAAATTTTTGACATTTAAAACCATATAAAACAAAATCAATTCTTCATAAAACCATATCTCAAAGTAGGGAGAGGGATAAAGAAAACTACTCAGAATTCATGAGACTTAGAATTCATGAGAAGGATACGATAAAACACAAATTTTATATATAAAAATAAGTTTACAAAATGAAAGAAATAAAAATATAACTTATCTCAAAATCCTTCCTAAGCAAATCCTTAGAAGTTCTCTCCAAGTCTTTCACTCTTTAAAATCACTCCCAATTCTCTCTTAGAAATGTAATGAAGAAGAAATCTCTCACCTTCTCTCTCCTCTTACAAACCTAGAAAAAAATATCCTCTTCTCTCTCTCTCTCTAACTCTCACGCCACACCCCAAAGCTCTTCTTTTTATCCCCCCTCTTAGCCTCTTCATGTCTTCTTCTTTTATTTTGGCTGCCTCCTTTGAAAAAAAATTCAAAATTCCCTAAAAAAATTCCTCCAAAAGTCAACTCTTTTGAATTCAAAAGATGTGTTATTAGATCTAAGAGTCATATCACTTCATAAAAGAACCTTCCAAAGTGTCTAGATGCATTGAATTACTCCAAGATGTGTGTATAACTAGTGTCCCTTTGAAAATTTGCGCAAAATTCGTCTTGAACCGCCTTAATTTGAAAAAGTTGTCTCCGGTGCATCATGCGCCGATCTGGCGCATAATGTGCTAGCTCTCTGTATTTTGGTGAATCATGAGCCAGATTGCATCATGTGCCAATCTGGCTCATGATGCACTAGAATCCAAAATTGGCTCTTTTTGCTCCAAATTTCGTCTTTTTTGTCATTTTTTCTCAAAATGCCTAAAAATGATATACCTGCAACAAAAACACAAATTACCCTTTTTTAAAGTACAATATCACCAAAAATAAGCATAAAATTGTCACTTAAAACAGTATTTTATTTTGGTGTAGCAGGTATTCACCCACCTTTTAAATATTTCAAATAATCGTGCCATATATAATTTAATGAGTCATTCATATCATAGTTACAATAATAACTATAAAATGTAAACAATGTCATATATTATATACCTAACTTAAATAAAATTCTTCTGAATATAGATGCTCATTTCCAAGGATGTAGATCCATAAGTCTATTTAAAAAGATTGATCATCTATTTTTTCATCGATCTAAAGTATAATATTTGACTCGGTTGCAAAAATACATTATTCGATTAGTTATTAGTAATTTTATTTTCATACATGATATGTAGAGTTCTTAAATTGCAATTTTTTGTGTTATCATTATTGTATTATATCTTTTAAATTGCACTATATATGTTGTGTTATATAATTTGAATCACTACATTATAATTATTGTGTTATTGTTGCATTTACCATATTGTTATGTTAAATCTCTTATAATTTTTTCTGTTATGGCTGTTGTGTTAAAAGTTATTGTAAAAATTTTCTTATAATTTTTCATGTTATAGTTATTGTGCTGTTCCTATTGTAATGTTATGTAAAATCCCTTCTAATGTGATGTAATGTAGTTGTAGCATCATATTTATGTCGTGTGTATTATGATAGCGTGTTATATTCTACGTTTAAATAATTTTTGAGTATTTTCCTAAAAATATGTGAACATTCATTTAACAGCAAACAATTTTCCTATTGTAATGTTATGTAAAATCCTTTCTAATGTGATGTAATGTAGTTGTAGCATTATATTTATGTCGTATGTATTATGATATCGTGTTATATTTCTTGTTATATTCTTCGTTTAAATAATTTTTGAGTATTTTCCTAAAAATATGTGAACATTCATTTAACAACAAACAATTTACTAATAAAAAAAAAAACACTAACCTTAAAAAGATAAAAAAATCAATTTATAAGAAATACATAATGTCTTGGAAGAGATAACATCAAACAAAGCATAATTCTTATAGCTGAGCCTAAGGTTTCCATTAGGCTCAAGTACAGTAAGAATCTAACCACCCTACATATTCATCATAAAAAAAAAAATACAGTAAGGATTTAACAACAACATGGATGAGAATGCAGAAGAAGAATAAAATTAACTAATAAGTGAATTTACTTCTGAAATACAAGTTCTAAAGCACAAAATAATCAACCTTATCCAAATTAGAAGAAGTTATTCATTTTAAGAGCTCATTGCTGAGAAGAAAAAAGAAAATCAAAATCTCAGATTCATCTTTGTTCCCCATAATATCCAAACAGTTCCCCATAATATCCAAACAGTGGCTCATAAAAGTAGATGTTACCCTCAAATCCACAAGCCATCCAAGCTGTTCTATCGCCATTACATGGAAAGGAGAGCAAATCTCAAGCATGCTTATATAGTAATAGACATACATATGCATTAAACCACTTTTAACATAATTAAAACAAGAACTAGAACTTAAAGAGCAAATTATTAATCAACATAAACAAATCAAAATAAAGAGCAAGTTAACATTCTCATAAGAAAACTTAAACAAGTCAAAATAAAGAGAACGCTAACTTACTGAACAAATTCCAAAAAAAAAAAAAAAATTACAAACACATAAACCATAAATTCCATTTGCTATTTACACATGCTCTATTCCTCATTTCTAGCCCCTGATTCACTTCCGATAGTTAAAGCAAACACCTTTTCACACATTCCTATCTCATGGGAGCTGTTTGGATTTATCGAAATGAAAAAAATGAAATAAAATTTCAATAATTTATAAATAATTGTGAACCTGAAACCATTGATTTAAAACTTTTATTCTTCTTCTTAATATTTCTTTTCACTCTTCTAACATCCAAATATAGACTTTACAAAAGGGCACATTCCACCCTTCGCAACGGGGAAAAAAAAAACAAACCGCTGCAATTATCCATCAAAATCCATCTTGATATTCCATAAATATTAATTCTTTGCCAGAAGCAAAAAATTCAACCAAGGAAAAGTAAAAAAAGATCTATAAACTTGCTCCAAAGGAATGAGAGAGAGAAATGAAGAGGAAAGTAACCTTAGGCAGGAACGTGACAGGAAGAAGGATTCAAAACCTAGGGAATATGAAATAAACGAAAAAATAAATAAATAAAAAAATGTGTCTACCTGTGAGATCGCCGAAGAAGCCGAAGGAGGCCAGGAACGCAAGAGGAAGAAGAGTCGGAGCTGTTAGGGCATGAACGTTTGTAAGCAAGTTTGTCGACCAAAATGGAGAAGAAACGAAAAAAAAAAAGAATATGCATGTTTGCGAGATCGCCGAAGAAGGGGTTTAGGGCAGGACGCAGGAGGGCAGCGAAGTAATCCTTATGGATGAAACACGGCGTGAGGGGTTCATCTTGCGGGCAGCATTGTTAAGAAAATAAAAAAGCCGTTCTTTCCACCGCGCCCAACATGTGAAATTCAAACTCTAGGAAGACGTTTTCAAAATGCCTTCCGATGTTATAAGCGCTGCCCCAAATGGACCCTTAATGAACCCAAATTTAATAAAGGAAAGAAATAAAAAATTAGATTTAACTTAATGATGAATTTAACTAATTTATTTATTGTGTTTTACTGAATTTAGGTTAAAATTAAAATGGTGTTAATAAGTATCGTAAGAAACACCCCCTTATACTTAACGCCACATCTCCTACGCTTCCTCGATAGAAGTTATAGAAGCAGCCATCGAATAAAGTCAGAGTCGTGTGAATTCTCTTCAATTATTACCGGGCAAAAATGTTGGCATTGAACAAGTTCTTATCCAAGGAGGGATTGATTGGTTTGGCATTAGGGCAGTTCGTGTCACTCCTGATCACCTCGACAGGATTTGCTTCATCCGAGCTCTCCCGAAAAGGTGCGGGATTTGCATTGCTTTTGATGGCTTTTGGTTTTTTTTTTTTTAATTTTTATAACTAAAACTTTTGCCTTTTGGCTGTAGGAATCAACGCTCCGACATCGCAGTCATTCTTGAATTATGTGCTGCTAGCAGTGGCTTATGGGGGTTGGATGATCTATAAGAAGAGATCGCCTCAGGTATTGCTGTTGTTGGTTTCCTGATCATGGCTCTAATAGTCTGATATTTTAGTGTTTAACGCATAAAGATGGCGGGCTCTTGTACTGTGATAAAGGTGTTAAGCCAAATAACACAATAATATATATAAAAATATTATTGCTGTAGTTCAAACAGCGAAGTTACAAGTACACATTTGAAAGCGGAAGAATAGGTCCTTGTTGTCATGGATTGCAACAAGGTGGAATTAGGGTTTCCAAGTGCTAGAACAACGGATATGTGGCAGAGAGGTGGTGCAGGAGGGCTGAGACAACAGTTAGGTGGCAGGGAGATTGTCCAGAATGGCTGGAACAACAGTTGGTGGGAAGGGGAGGAGATTCTGGCTAGATCAATGATGGCAACAAGTGGGAGTGCTGGAATCACAGGGGCAGCAAAGAGGGAGGGTGGAACAGTGATGGCGGTGATGACGGAGGTGACAAAGAGGCACAGAGTTGCAGTAGACAATAAAGGTGTTCCTGAGTGGTTAGCTGCAACAGTTACTGCGACGATAGCAGCGACGTGAGGTTGTGAAGGATGGGAAGGTCGAGGATAATCACCACCTTAGAGTGAGATACAATTGGAGCATAACTCGTCCTCAGATACAACCCCAGAAGGGAACAAGGGGGATGCTGTCGGCAGTCATAGTGGAAAAATCATGAAAAAACTGACCTAAAACGTGAAAACATATTTACAGACTTAGGGTAAATAGGAGCGGACCTCACTTCAAAGAAGACGGAAATCCATATAAGCCTCAGTCTCCCGTAGTACTATAGTAGGAATCGCAGACAACTTCATGCGGGATTGCTCTATGCGGTGTTGTAGCTAGAATTGGGACACTATAAATGAACATGCAAAAGGGGTCCCTCGGGGAGCTCTCGTGTCATTCTCCTGTAGGTCGGGGAGCTTAGATCTCATCTGTCGAAGCTACTGTCTTTTCATAGCAGTCAGGTTGGCCCTGTTGAAAATGATGGAGCTAGTGCAGCTTCCCGATAAGTCACACTTGTAGGTATTGTCATTCCAAAGCACATCGTGATTGAATATGTTTCCATCCGTTTTGGGCACAACTCGAGCTAGAGTTGCATATCAACGTAGATTCTCATGAGTTAAATCCCGAACAAATAAATCTATAATATACTTTTGCCACTCTTCGTATTTGGCTGAATGTATTTGATAACAAGTATGTTAGGAGTAATCAAGTCTAGAAGGACATCTATCGTAGGTTGGGCCATACTGAAGTGTAACCACTCAAGAGGGGTCTTCTCTTCTTTTTCTTTGAAAGGACTTGTATTCCGTTATAGGATGTTCTTTTTTGTTGGTGGGTGCATTGTTGAATTGAATTGAATTAAATACCCAAATGACTTCATATGGTGTTTTAGTAGTAGCTCAAAAAATTCTCATCGCTGAACCCCCCTGAGTAAAGGCTATATATTTGAAGATTCTAAAATCCTCTTATCTGAGATTGCCCTGTGTCCGGTATCGACTCTTCAAGCTCATGACACTTATTGACATCCATGTTAGTCCTGCTGATGCTCTTATCAACATCTGTAAGAAGGTAGTACATGACACTATAACCTTATACTTTGTATGAATACCCACTAGCTCAGAATCTATTTTCTAGAACAACCTCGGCTAATCCACTTGGAGTTTCTCTTGTGTGCTCATTTTGAATCAATAGCCTGTCATCCTCGTCGGTTCGAGTTTGAGGCTCATCTCTAACATCTTCATCCTTTCACGTGTCATTGTCTATTTCTTTAATTGCTCCCTGTTAAGTGAAATAGATCATTCCCCTGGTCGACACTTAAAATACTTTATGGTTGGGAAGAATTTAGAAATGCGGATCAATTTCACCTATTTTTCACTTTGGACTAGTGTCTCCTCAGGCGTGGTCGACTTGGATGTTTTGTTGGGTATAATCTTACTTCTTGATCCAGAGGTGTACCTGTAAGATGTCGCAGTCATTCAGTGATCTGGACTTTTTACTTTTGAAGCTAGGTTCTGAATATCCTGTCTGTAATGAACTGATAGACTGACGCTGTATTTCTCATTTCATTTTAGAACAAATTGTAATTTTACTTCTCCCACCTCATTCTCGAAGAATCTTTAAGTTAGCCCATCATTGAAATGCATTCTTCCTTAACTTGCCGGTGAGTTTTTTCACCATTTCATCTGGTGGGATTTCATGATACTTAAAGACATCCAATTTCCAGAGCCACTCGATGAACTGTCCAGATTCATGTGACCTTAAAAAATGACAATCTACCTTTATTTCAAATTCTTGGCTCATGCCAAATCTTTGGGGTAGTGGTTCTTCAACTCGAGAATGAAATGAAATTTATGTGACCCCTCTGGATGGTCTCCTCTTGAAGGCGACGAGCCTCTGTTGCAATTGAGGGATTTTTCACTTCATATTTTCCTTAGAAATCTCTTGGACACCTCTTCACGTATTTTTCATAACTGGCATCATGTTCTTTCGTCCCAATCATGTTTCCGACAATTATGTTCTAAGTGGCATAACTTGGTTTTGTGTTTTAGGTAGTGGATGAAGGTGTATGGTTGTGATATCAGTTGGAAAAAAAATTTCTTGGGGGCTGATTTGAAAAATCAGCTAAGGGAAGGCTTTTTGGGTGGAGATAGAGTTGGGTATTTTTCGATGCTATAAATCTCATGATAGAACTAAGATTAGGCTAATTCTGATACCAAATGATATCGGAGTTACTATACAGTAATAAATAACAAAATATTATTGCTGAAATTCAAATAGGGAAGTTACGACCATACAACTGACAGGGAAAATTACAACAAAACGACATGCTGGAATTTGAAATTGAGATAAATGACAACATTAACTCAAACTAGTGTGGGTTGCAGGTGATGGTGGTGGCTGTTGGGTTCCAGAATGGTGATAATAAGGAGGGAGCACGAAGTAAGTGGGCAGATATGACAATGGAACATTATTCCTTGCTGTGTTGGATGGCAGTAAGGTGGAGCTCCGGTTCCCGGATGTTGAAACAACGAATATGTGGCAGAGAGGTGGTGCAGGAGCGTTGAGACATCAATTTGGTGGCAGGGACGTGGTGTGGGATGGTTGGAGCAGCAGTTGGTGGAAGGGGAGGGGATTTCTGGTGGCTGGATTAGCAAGGGCAGCAAGTGAGAGTGCTGAAATTGCAAGGGCAGCAAAGAGGGGGGCTGGAACACTGATGGCGGCGAGGACGGAAGAGGCAAGGACACGTGTAGCTTTAAGAGACAACAAAGGTTCTGTTTGGGAGTGGGGGCTGGCTGCACCAATTACGGTGATGCCAATGACGACGGGTGAGAGGATGGGAAAATCACAAATAGTCACCACCTTTGAGTGAGATACAACCAAAGCACCACTCTTCTTCGGATACTACCCTAGAATGGAGCGCGGGAGACTACGACGATCGCCCTGACAGAAAAATCTCGAAAAGTGGACCTAAAACACAAAAAAAAAATTATTTATAGACTTAGGGTGAATATGAGTGTACCCCACTCTAACTAGGAGGGAAATCCAAATAAAGGAATTGTCGACCGACCTTTCTGGACTAGTGTAAGCAGCAATCTCTTGTAGCAGGGATTGTGGACGGCTCCATGCTGGACGACTCCACACGGTAGTCTAGCTATAATTGGGACATTGTAGCACGGGGGAGGAACCAATCTCTTTTTTGAGGGAGGGCAAATTTTTTTTCACTTTTTCTTTATGATTCGAAAGGAAATGAAATAGTTCTAAATAATTTTTTTTTTAATTGATTCAGATGATTCATTATGATCATGAAATGATAATTCTTATATAATCCCATTTCCATGTATTAACATATCTAACACATTTATACCATTGAAAAGTACCACTACTTTAATTTTTAAAATGTGAAATTCATCATTCTATGCATATATAAGGTGGTATGTATGTAAAAAGTTGAAGTTTATGTATTAGATATGTAAATAACTTAGAATTGAGTGGTATGTAAGTAAATTTTCTTTTTTAAAGAGGTCATTTCCCAATTTTTCCCTATGCATAATAAACACAAGAATAACAAAAATTAGATGTACTGATGGAGCAACCACTTATTTTCTTAGTACAAGATATTAAATTTATTAATCCCATCAAACGAGAGTTAGTATGATGGCATAATTAAAACTCATTGAATCATGCCACCAATGTAAGTCATCCACTAGCTCCTCCATTAACCACACCACCACAGTGCCGGTCATCTCTATGGCCAGGATCTCCTCTTCCTACTTAGAGTGCTTTTTCTCTCCGGAACCACTACATTGCTTTTGTGCTCCGCCAAAATTTTACCCGCCGGTTTGTGGAAGAGCCGAAGAGGCAAGGGCAATAGTATGGGGCAAAGTAATATTTTAGTGTGAGGTGTTTGAGTTGGGGGTTGGGGCGGGGGGGATGGGCAAAAGATGGAGGTGCCACTTTGGTTGGTTTAAACTCCAAAATTAATGGGGGCACCCAATGTGGGTCTACCTTTGTTGTAGTAGAACACACAAAAGGGGCAGCTCCCACGTCATGTTGTTTCCTTGACATTGTTGGAATTTGTACTAATTGGTTTGTTTGACCCACTGGAGTCTTTTGTCATATTAATAGAAGTTAAGCTTCGACTTAACGTCATTCGACATTTAACTTCTTTTTTTTTAATTGGCTTGAAGATGGTAGAAGTGCTGATTAGTTGAGTTCAAATGAGTTAGCTTGCCTCTAATTAAATTCTATTTTACTTAAAAGTGATCAAATTTTTTAGTTAACTCGAGCCAAACAAATTGTCTTAGTCATATATTTATATCAAATTATGTAAAAATGTTAAGTTTTATTGTATAATAATGTGTGGATACACTTCTTATATGTGGCACACATACTACTCGTACTTTCATGTCGTTCTTCACCCTCCCCTGCCTCTACACTCACACAACCTTCTATATGCATGGTTTCAAATTTAATTGAATTAATCTCAAACAAGCAATCCAAAGTCCAAGGTTAAAAGCATGATAAAATTTTAGTTTTTTAATGTTTAGCAGTTATAAATCGTTTTCTAATGATTTTTCTAGACTCTGCTGGCTACAGCATGATGTCTTGTCAAAATTTAATTTTGTCAAGGTGCTTGTTGGAAAATAGAGTTGAAACATTATCTAAATCTCCAAACTTGTATTTGCAGACAAATTGTTGTCCGCCAATTATGCATAGGTTATCTTTTTCTTCCTTTCTTTTTTAGGTGTAAATGGTAGAAATGAATCTTTTATTTTTTAGTTATCAGTAGCCTTGGAAAACAGTTAGCAATGATGTATTTGATGCAATGTCCCTTTGATGACCACTTTAGGAGATTGTTGATATCTTTAAGTGTAAAATATAAAACAATTAACCCTCTTACTAGTTTTGTATGCACACCATTATAGTTTACTTTGTGTCCTTGCTTCTTTTGGATGTTATGTTATGAACCTTTGTTTTTTTGGCAGAGCACTATAACAGTCATTATAATCCCTTCCATGAATGGATTTAGTGTATTTATATATATATATATATATTAGTGTTAGCTTAATTTTTGCAAATAATGTCCCTTACTTTGAAGCCTTTGCTTGGTATAATTAATGCTATCAATGAATTATTGAGATTCTTCTTTGTTTCAATGACGCTTTGTCTTACACTTCTATGCTAACAAACATAAATTGCATTTATTTCAGACAAAATGGTATTTCTATTTGTTGCTAGGCTTTATTGACGTAGAGGCTAATTTTCTTGGTGAGTGCTTCTTCTCACATCTGTAGTCGGTATTCTTTGTTTGCTATGTTAAAAATTTTATGCATCAGGTAGAAATAATAAGAGTCATCTTGAGCTGGTTGATAATCTTGAAGTTTTTTGATCAGGTGGATTACCTTTTGTTTTTTCAATTTCTTAAAATTTCAGGGTCATTTACCTACATACCGCCCAATTCTTATATATTTACTTATCTAACAACTAAACTTTACCTTGACATTTATACCACTCAAATCATTCACATCACATCAAAAGTATCACTATTTTAACTTTTAAGAAGTTCAATATATCTTTCCATGTATAGATGAGGTGGCATATATGTAAAAAAAATGAATTTTATGTGTTAGATATGTCAATACAAATGAGTTGAGTGGTATGTGCGTAAATCTTCCAAAATTTAATGTCGGTACTAATATTTGACATATTGAACTTGATATTTGTATTCTGAATCTGAACTGATCTTTTATACCTTTATGTTTTCATCAGACCACAACTGTTATTTTTTTCACACTTTGACTTTGAATAGCTTTTCTATTCGAACAATTGCTTAGCAATTGTTTTTATTAATGTAGTTGTAAAGGCTTACGAGTATACATCTATAACAAGCGTCATGCTGTTGGACTGTTGGGCAATTCCATCTGTTATATTTCTTACCTGGATATTCTTGAAGACCAAATACAGATTCAAGAGATTCGCTGGTGTGGCCATTTGCATTGCTGGCCTTGCTTTAGTTGTGTTTTCTGATGTCCATGCTGCTGATAGGACAGGTAAAATGGGTGGTTATATGGTTAAACCATTAAAATATTTTATTTCATGAGAAATCATTTTCTATATTCTAACATTGCAGTGTAATTTCATATGTACCCTTGAGTCACATTGGTCTGCGGCCATCTGTTGTAACCAAATGTTGCTCTTATGCTCACTGATATGATAAAATAACTTCCTTTCTTTTCTGTTATTGTTTTGCTAGATATGGCATGCAACAAATATTCCATTTTATCTTGATCAATAATCATATAACAACCTCCTCATTGTGATAATATCATGATACGAGTAATACCTCTCATATTTTTTGCTGCAGCCAACAACAGCAACCCTGTGAAAGGGGATTTGATTGTTATTTTTGGATCCATGCTTTATGCAGTTAGCAATGTTGGTGAGGTAATGTATTCTCTCTTTGTTTGTTACCTTCATAGAATTTACCATGCTTATTATAATGATATTTATTTTTTCCTGTCAAATGTTTGTGAAAGGACTATTGTTGGTCTTATGGTAGGTCTATAATAGGAATCGCGATAAATTTATAACATAATGTTTATTATGAACATGAATATTTCTTTAAAAAGTTTTACGAATGGAACTTCCAATTGTGTCGATTCATGTCAACTTATTGGAAATAAGATAACAGAACTTATTCCTTTACAGGCTTGAGAAAATGAAAGTTATTTGAATGCTTAATTAAAGGCCCTTAACGAGAAACCTTGAATAGTTCGAGATGTTAAGTTGTGTTCATTTTTAATGAGACAGGTTCATGATGCCTCTGAATTTTTTCTTTATCTTTATGTTACTCTATTCTTTTTCAGGAGTTTTTGGTCAAGACGGGGGACAGAACTGAGCTGATGGCAATGCTTGGTGTTTTTGGAGCGATTGTTAGTGCTTGTCAAATGTATCCTGTGAAGCGTAATGCATAAAATTGACCACAAAGTCATTTATGTGTATGCTTAAGCCTTTTCATAATGAACCAAGTTTTTTGGTTGTGCTTTTAATAATGAAATAAGGAGAATTTGCATGTGAAGTTAAAATTGAGTGCTACGTGTTTAAATATGGAAGTTTAGGTTTGAGATATCTAAACACGTAAGAATAGTGCGCTATGCATGTAAATTTCTCATGAAATAATTGTATGAATTGTCTGCAAAAATTCATTATGTATGGATGAAGGGTATGCTAGCTGCTTTTCATATATGGTTGCCAAGTTTGATGCATATCATGATTCATTAATACTCCAAATCAAATGAAGTACATCACAATTTGTTTCTCTTATCATTTTCATATATTTCATCAGAAACATAGCACTGTTCAAGGGCAACCTTTGCATAAACACTTGGCTTTAAGCACTCACGTACAGCATTATGTTTATACTTAGTTTTGATATTTTAAGGTAGTTTTTGCAGCTTTTCTTTCAGTGATTCCTTAATTACCTTTCAGAAGCATTTTTGAACACAGCGAGCTTAATTCAATTCACTGGACACCTGCTGCGGTATGCTCAACTGTTCCTGCTTTGTTTTTAATTGAAAAAAGATAGCTACATGTTTTTGGCCCGCTTCATATGTTTACTTAATTTTTATGAATTATTTGAAAGGATAAATTCATGTTAGCACTTTAAAGTTGTCTGACTGTGATTTGCATTGTTTTCCTGAGAAATATTGGATGTTGATATTAGTATTTTCTTCAGCCCAAGTGATACATACTCTTAAGCTCTTTGATTTTGCTTTCGAATGTTTTTGATCTTCATAAGTTAATCATGTTAAAATTAATCAGTTATTATTAAACACCGTTTAAATGATATAACCTTCAGGAGCTGGACAATGATTTAAATTAAATTATTTCTAAAATTATCCAACAACTAACTTGGGCGTTATAGAACATGGTAAATAAATGGGCTTTAACCATTGATGCATTGTCGGCACAAAAAAAAAAGAAGAGGTTGTTTCGCGGTCGTTCGTAAGAAACTGTCGGCAGCCGGAATTGAAATCTCATCGCTCGCTTCGAAAAGACGTTTTAATTTACGTGTGTGTGTCTATATATATATATAATTTTAG